AACCTTAGCTTTCAAATTAGGATGGAGCTTGTAGCATTTATCAAAGATATGATCAAACATCTTACAGTGGGGGTCTGTGTTCCAAGACGATTTGTTGCCAATATCCATTGTGGGTTGTGCCCAGCCAGACTTCAGTAACATCCGGTAAATTAATATCTTTTTCCACAAGTATTCTGGCAATCGAGCGTCTGGTTAGGTTGAAAGTAGGCAGATCTAGCTTTAAAGTATCCCCTAGGATGACCCCAATAGAGTAGAGAACCTGATGGTGAAAAAAATGCAGCTTGAGACCAGGTAAACTAAACCATACCTGTACAGTGGGAGTTTCATAATTTGGGTCGAAATCAGGAAACCACTTGAGTAACTTCATAGCTTTTCCTGCGATATTAATATATTTTTTAGAGAAAATTTTGATATAGTCTTCAGTCATTGTTAGTTGGATCAACACACATCTCCCATCCATAAATCCCAACTTCCACTTGCCTACTGGCTTAAGATCATCTACGCACTTTCTGATTACCTCCATAGGTGGGCGTCCCCACTAAAATTTTTCAATGAGCAAACTTGAATTTTTATTTCAGGGTAGAAATTTCTGAGTCAAAGAAAATAATTGTTTCTTTCCCACCTTTCCTACTTCCCTTCGTTTATTTCAGGGTAGAAATTTCTGAGTCAAAGAAAACAATTGTTTCTTTCCCACCTTTCCTACTTCCCTTCTTAACAAAAGGGCAATCATCTGTGTCATCGCAACATTCCTTATAGTTTGAGGGGAATACCACCGCGGACTCCACCTGAGGGTTTCCCACCACGTGGGCAAAGGAAGTCTTTGTCGATTCAGCAAAAGAAAAAGGAAGTGCCATCAAAATAACCAGCTGTCACCTGCAGCGAGAAACTTGTGTCAGGCTGGAGAGAGGCGCAGAAACAAAGCAGAAGATCGGGTCGGAGAGAAGCACTGTCGCAGACATGAACAGAAGAAACGTCGAAAACCGACGCAGAATGACGAGTCGGGAGCTGGACGCAGATGCAGAAGCTACAGAACTTGCAGCTCGACAAGGTCGAAGCTCGACGCAGAAGCTGGCGCGACCGAAACCGCAGAATCCCTACGTCGTTGTCGACTATCACGGAAAACGAAAAGATCCTCTGTCGACACGCTAGCAGCGAATCTTGCTTGCGGCAGAGGCGGAGATTATCATTCTGTGCTTCCCGAATCTTGCTTGCGGCAGAGGCGGAGATTATCATTTTGTGCTTCCCTATGTGTGTGTGTGTGTGTGTGTATATATATATATATATATATATATTCCCCTCTCAATACCCAAACCATTCTTATTGCAAATCCTAGCCGAAATCATAAATTTTTAAAATCCAATCTTCCTACCTTCACCAAAATTTCATCCCGACACCTACCACCAAAATCTAAAACACCGACCAACCTTGATTTGCCAGCCAACACTCATATGAAACATAATCCAAAGAAAATAATGTCAAGTCGCCCAGGATAAACCCTAAGTGAGGTGTTCAAAAACTTACTATAGCGGATATATAGTGGAAAATTCTCCAACTGCAACAAAGGCTTGCCACATTTGAAATGAGTCAATCTGCTGAGATCACCCACAGTGATGACCACTCGCCATATCAAGTGAAGAGAATGAATCTCTTTCATCAGGAAGTTTCCGGTTACGAAGAACTAATACCCTGACGATTTGGCAAAGAATATCAGAGAAACTAGGACCTTAAAGTAAAGATAACTTTATTGAATTTTTACGATTGCATGGGTCCAGACAAATTCATTGAGTGACTTTAAGCACTGGAATATGTCTGAGTACAAGGACATCCTATCTGAAAGAAGGGTAAACTGGCAGCTATCAGGCTTATAAAGAATGCTTCCATGTGATAGAGAAATTTTAAGCATCTACATCAGCATGAGGGAAAAAATAAAATCACTATCTGGTCCAAAATGAAAAAAGAGACGCGTCAAAAAGCTTATGTTAAATTGTTAACAAGTGATGCCCAAGGAGAACACCATAAACAAATATCTTGGGTGATTGAGGGAGTAAATTGGCAACGCTGTACAGCTACTGCCCTTTTGGGCATTTAGAATACCCAAACCTTAGCCATGAAATTAGAGAGGCAACACAACAATATCAAGTCTACAACACACTTTAGGCAGAGTTCAACACCTGAATCAAGACAAGAATACACTCAGTGGAGGATCCACGCCGATCCCGCTAGAGGCCCCAACTCATATTGGAGGAAAATGGAGATCTTTAGTACTCTCAGATTTGTCCCAACCAAGAAATATTTCATGTGACATGATTTTGGGCACATTGTATCTAATTTCCTAAATAGGAGGATATATTTCACTGGGCAGAAGTAGTTAAGGAAATTGACAATGACACGAGTTAGGATGAAGAAGTCAAAAAAAAGCATTTGGCTTGCAGCTGATGAGGGAGAGTTTCTAGTGATTCATGTTGAGCACATTAATGAACCCCCAACAAAATTAACATTGGTTGTCTTAGAAGTAATTTGTCTGAG